TCAGTCGGTGGCAGCAACAGAGTGCGTTGGTAACATGAGTATTCAGATCATCGAATATTGCACATTGCAGATCGTTGCGGTATTAGAGAAGAACCCCACCTCCTCTGCTGGGGCGGTCCTCCCGGATGAGTGACATTCCGGCTATCTCAACCTCAGCACTACTCACTTCTTGGTGAAACCAAGTTTCGGTAGTATAAATTAGGTCCGAAGTTTTGTAAGTTTACCCAGGAGTGCTTGGGCGTTAGTGTACATACAACAAAGTTACTCAGATTTGAGCAATGTTTTGGAGGTTGTGCAACTCATAAGTGAAGTTGCTCCGACCAATGAGTGGCCGGTGACTAATCGTTTTTTCGGTGTGTGCTTGACGAAGGGTTCAAAGTCTTATACATCGTCTGTGTACTTAGTCCCGTGACCAATCTTTTTACGTATAGTGTAAGGTGTCTGGTCAATGTCATCTTCAACAGGTTGTAAGGGCACATTTTACACACTGTTGGTGCATTGTTTGTTTTATAGATTCCATCGCGTTCGGTTCGTTGAGTGACATGCCATCTCTAAGGGCATATTGCTGACTGTCTCCAGCCGAAGCTCAGATGGTAGCTTGCAACGAAACATGTACCAGCTTTTTAGCAGCCGTGCTAACATATGTTCTGACTGAAGGACCACCTTCAACACTCTCGGCCGCTTCATTGGTAGTTCAGTGAGATACGCAGCCGTCACACGGATTTTGCTAGCACACCATCCAAGCAGAGTGGTTCACGAATATAACACCATTGTTCATTAGTATGGGTTGTTATTTCATGCTCATCATATGTTTCAGTTTCAGGAACGCCATGGACAAGAATGGTTCCGGTTAAAGGTTCCTTCCGGTAGTCCTCTAAGGTGCTCTTAACATGATAACACTCGCCCCATGGGGTGTCTGGAAAGTTACGGATGGAGCAGTGTTCCTTTCTGAGACTACCAATCGACAGTACAACTGATTTTACTTCAGTGATCGAGTTCAGCACAACGCGCAGAAGTCTTGGCTCACCGAAATGTCTGGAGTTGGGGTGTCAAGTAATACCCACTACGTGTACAGGTTTCAGTACATCTCTAATTTGGTTCCTAATAACGTCCCACTGGCTGAGGTCATCTAAATGCCTTCTTCGTATTGATATCGACTTTGATTATGCGATATTAGATCACAGTACACTCAGTACAGGTAGTTGTTTCTCTACAACTTTAGACATGTCGCGGTTAGTGATTGAAATATTAGGGTATGTACCGCTGAAAACCGGTGGTGCTTACACCAGAGGAACTCCGCTACGCGCCACAGTTTCCGACCCAGCTGGGAGTGAGGTTGCTTTTAAATGACGGCTCTTCTTGGAAGCAACTATAACCCAACTTTCGCTATTACCGGATTGCTCATTTTCCATGCACTGCGTCGGGAGATTGGAAGTAGCCTTACGTGTCGTTACTCCGATCGAATGTGAGCCACGTGCGGTGTTGGAACAGCAGTTGATTTGCTGGGCTCTTGGTGTCATTTTGCCAACTGTGTTACTAGCCGTTCTCCTCAGGATAGTAACAGCACTTACTGGGGTAACTTGAGCTGCCCAGTCCACTATGCTTACCCAAACCGTAGTGATTTTGGTAGTCACCATTTCCTCAAACTTGTCTAGTAACTGGTCGTACTTCTGAGATAATAGGAGCACGCTTCTTATCAGCGGCATAGACGTATGTTCCACTCAGAACCATAGAGAATCGGGTTGGTTTAACCATTTGGTCGGACTAGATTTAACTCGGAGGCAGCTCGCGTGAAACATATTGCAACGGTTACGGCACGGAATGACCCCTTAACAAGCTTGGAACATGATCCACATAGGTCTTTGGACTATGGCACACTGGGCATCGCGTTTGTTGAGCAAAGGTTACGCACCATTAGAGTGACTCAACCTCGATGGTAAAATGTTGTTCTGTTACTGATGTTGACGGCAAGGTCACAGTGTTCACTTTGCAGCGGTATGCTTCCACACTCCTCTCTGGCTTGCCGATCAAATGTGACAGCGTGAAGGTGGGGCAGATTACACCAGGGTGTGATTGAAAAGTTTCGTGGTTAAGCCTGTGGATTGTGCCAGGTGAATTTGACTTGAAAGGTGTAGCTGCTCCAAACAATGTTGGATTTTAACAAGTGAGAGTTAATTCGCAAGCCGTTGAAATGATCTTTCGAGTGAGACCAAACCATGTCTCCGATGATTGGCGTTATGCAACTTTGGGTGCTTGGATATCGGCGAAACATTTCTCGGAATTTAGAATTAAGGGTAAGGTAAAATGCACTAAAGAGTATTCAAGAAAATGGCATCACAAGGTGGATCTTTTAAAGGCACGATAAATAAGTATATATCCAGAGGTGTGAAACAAAACGCCATTGAGTCACAGCGCAAAGACCACGAGTGCACAAATGAGCGATTTGTAAGCGCTTTCACTCAAGTTCACATTGGTCTGGCTACCAAGAACTTAATAAAACCAAGTTGACTAAACATATTTTTCCCAAAGAAACTAGGAGAAAACGGAGGAAAAATCGCTAATTAAAATCTAGCAGAAAAGATAGTTTCCTTCACCGTAAAGAGATAAAATGCTCCTGGTACATATGACAACAAGATTTTTCGACAAATCACGGCTTCTGTTGACAGTACATTCTGTACTTCAAATGGTGGGCGGGTTAAATACAGGTCTCAAAAAAATCCGTTGGTGTGGTTTAGATTCATTTATTGACCCGGACACGCGGTCTGGTACCGTTAACGGGATCGAAGGCCATTTGTGATTTGAACACGTAACCTGCGCATATCTAGATTGAACGGGAAGTGGCGGAATAATGTCTGACTTCACGTGTTCACCGACTTCAAGACCTAATGATCGAGAGACTGATGTTTTGATGGTGACAACAGGACCTGTTTTTCGTAGTCATTGATTCCCATTAAGTTTTCTCCACCGATCTTCCGGCTACATGAGCATTCTGGAGAGTGCGATCCGCTTTTCTTTGTGCGCATCGCCTGGTGTTATTTTTCGGTCGTTTGTGTGCTTAAGCATTGTCCACATGAGGTTCTGATCGCTTATGAACCAACCAGTGGATTGACGATAGTCAACTACTACCAGTCTGTACATAACTGTGATTGTTGTTTCCTGATTTTGTGAGATAAAGTAATTGAGACAGGTAACAATTCTGTGCCTCTTACTACGTAGTGGAAAACCCAATCCCCTCACCCACTTGGGCCGATGTCTATCCGCGTACTCGTTCCATAGCATTGGCCAGTGGCCGAAAGGATAAGTCGTCTACCTTGCAAGCCAGAAGTCGCGCGTTCGAGCGTGCGTGGGGAACTAGGCAACCCACACAGTATCCCTAACGCACACGCGACGTGGTGGTTGTGACAACAAAGCATGGTTACGGAGTACCGCAGTTGTTCCGTCAGTGCCCGATCAGCCTTCGTGACGTATCATTTTGCTTGATACCTTCAATGTATTTAATACAGAAACGAGAAACCAATTCTTATACATGTAAAAGACGGCTGCATTTCAGCATACAAAATGCGGCACAGATCGTTGTCTGATAGGTAAAATCGGATCGCTGAACAAATCACATCTCTGACGCTTTCTACTGCGTTGAAATGTTACTCCTTGAAACACTGATCAGTTTTCCTGTCAAAATCAATAATGAAAATAGTGACTATTGATTTATCGAAACGGTAACAAATATGTGGATGGATTGGATATACGGATTGTCATAATTTCGCTGTTTCATTTCCAGGGTTGGGACAAGGGTAGTTGACCAGATCAGATCAGGATATGTTTTCGATTATGACCATTGCTACTGAGCGAAACACCCAAGGATTAGCATCTCATCAGTGGCATTATATAGCTGCTCGTTGATGGCTCTTACAATGTGAGAGACGTCAGTTTCATTTTGCGTCTATAAGCAGTTGATTGTAGTGAATAATAAACAAGCACATTGGTATATTTCCCTACATGCGGGATATACTCTCAGTCAAAGCATTTGTACACAGTGGCACATTGCGAATCTGGATGAGTCAGTGAACGTAATCAGTTCGTCTTAAGGTCCGAACACACCATCATTTTCGAATCTGAGGTCATAGTTTATGGAGACCCAAATTTATCATAATTTCATTGCAAAACATTGGAATCGTTATGGGTTACAACTTCACAGGTTTTGCAGTGTGTTGTAAAGAACGGATCAGAAAGTCGGTTCCCATAGATGTTGTAAAAGATTGCTGAAGGTCGAAGGTTTTAATCACATTCGCCTTTGAAAGAAAATTCTGTAGACGCGTCTTAGGGGCAATGATGTTCCACTTGTCCTTAGCCGTAGTGGTTACTTAGCCTACGGATAACCACATTACTTACTGACGGTTATAACCAGTTATTCTTACTCGCAAACTCTCCATCTTGTACTACTTTTAAAGGATGGAACATTCCATTGAGAACCACACCAAAAATTTGTAAAATATTCACCACTACCTGATCATGTTATACAAAATGAGCAGAGCATGTAATCGGTCTGTGTCTCGCTATAGCGAGAAGTATACCATTTATCTATTTATTTGTGAGTGTACTTCACTGCGAATAAATGAATGCAGATATTTCGTTTGGGCTTCTCTAATCGTAGCAAGTATCATGAAGTGGAAGCGGGATAATCTGAGCCATTTTACATGCACTGGTTGAAAAACTCGCAAATGTGTGACACTGGAGAGAATAGCCAGGCGCCCTTCAGTCGTCGAATCCAGAATGGGTCGAGTGAGTGATAGAGACATCGTTTCTCGAAGTAAAGCGTTGATTGGACGTTTTCCAAAGAAATGCCATATGTTTTGTGCATGTAGATATGTATGATGTTGCGGGACACCAGTGTAAGTCGTACTAGGAGTTTGAATGAATGCAGTTGTTTGTACGGTTTATGATGTAACGTGGCCAACAAACTGCTCTGTGTGAAGCTAACGGTTTTCTCCGATTACTTTTAGCTCAGCTGTTATACGGCGTCTCTATGAGTGCTCTCTTTGCCTGCCTGCTCCTGCTGAGCAACGGTTATGCTATCATCCACCATGCCATTGAGAGAATACCAGGAACAATTTGGCTTGTTGCTTTAGTGTCGTACACTGTCGCCATCATCGCGTGCACAATTGCAATGGAATTCGTGAGTACTGCTTGTGTACATTGAAGTAGCAGTTTCCAGTTTGATTCTCAAGAGGTGTTTATTTGTACTGACGCCAGTTAATTTATCTCAGACTCATGATCACTTTTTCCGTGTGCACAGATTTCACTAACTATCGTCACGAACTTGTATAACAGTTTAGGTGGAATCCGGTACTACACACAGGTACGCTACAATGACAGTTATAGAAACACAAACAAACGCAAGCTAAGAGCTTACGAAGCAGCCATGGTTTTGTGCATTAGTGTTCTTTCTTTCCCTTACATTTGGTAAATGATATTACCACTGTACCCGAGTAAACGTCGAGATACATTATAACAACAGTCATCTACGACGGCACGGACTTACAGCTACTTTGACACGGTCATAATAACCTCGGTGGCTATACTTAGGTGAAAAGAAGGTTATGCGTAAACGACTGTTGTGAGTCAATGAAACATAACGTTGAGCTCTATTCAATTTCATATATACTACTTTAACTTGCTACTGTAATGCGGCATATAGAGAGGGTTGTGATTGCTAGACAGATTGTTCATATAGTTCCCTGCGGTTTGCAAAAGGGCCCCGTGAACTAACCTGCATTGTCTCAGAATGAGAGGGAGCGGATTAAAGCTGATGGAAGGTATGTTTCAGCCTCATAAATGAAAACTGTCCAACTGGTGAGTAGCGTTTTTATAGTTCGTTCAACCCGAATGTTTATAAACCAATGTCACTAATTGAACCACAAAGATGGGCGACACTGCGAAAGCGCCTAATTGGTACACTGTTCATATCGTGATATCTCTTTGAACTCTTAGAGTAACGAATGTGAGATGTAGCAAATAGGACACAAAGCATGACATGTAACTTTGGAGGATGGAGAGTCGGTGACCAAACATAGCAAGTTTATATCTTGCAACCGTTAATTTGTTCCTTCTGATGACTGTTGCCTGATCACTGACCAGCTTCTCAGTGCAATGAATTTCTGTCTGCTACATCGGAGGTGCGCACCATCTAAAATACTTATACTGACAAAACCGACAGGTCGCTTAGATGCATACTTCCAAAGGTGCCATATAGGTTCCTCGCGTAACCGGAGAAGACCTCATCGAATGACGGTCAGCGTAGCCAGGGCAACATTATCAAACATCACCATGGCGAATGATCACAATTTGCATATGTCCAATCCGATACTTTAGTGTTTGTACGCGTCACTGGAGTGACCGATTTGGATGTAAGGTGGCCGGTGAACGCTGATATCGTAGATGTGAGGTGAGACTAAGTGGTACACACGCTCAAAGCCTCTACGTACGAATGTGATCACCTCGGAAACACACGACTAGTTCAATGAATGGATTGGTGTGTACTTTATCTTTTACGATGAAGAAATCCTCCTAGGAAACGGAATAGTAAACCAAGACAGAAAAGGGTAGAAGTATTGTGATTAAGAGCTGTCATTATAATTAAATCAAGCCACCCCTTATATGTGGTAAAAAGCGTTCCCCAAAACGTCTTCTAACGGTTGCATATTTCGTAGCTGCTGTCGTTGGAAGCTGTGACTTCATACATCAGCTCTGTGCGCTGCAACACTGGGGGATGAACTGCTCTACATCGCATTTAGCTTGGAAGATGTAACTGTACACCGCCGTCTCCTGTGACCTAGTAGCATGAGCCGCTGGTTATTGGCGCGAGCCGCTACTGTGGGGAGATCATAAGCTTGGTTCCTGATGGAGAAACGGGTGCGCCCTCATGACGAGTCGCAAGACGACGAAATGGCGCTCAAGGTATGGTGAATTCACAATCGAAATACGTCAAAATTACCCTACTTATTAGTAGTCTGAAGCAATGATGTGAAACATGGGGTTCTTTTCATATAGGTATGGAGATAAATTATGCGCCTACTATTACCAGCAGCCCTTGACAATGAGACCCAGAGCGCTACACCACAACGATTCTGTCATCGTGGTCATCTTTTGTTGTCATACGCGTCTCCTGTGACCTGATAGTTTTCAACGCCTTCCAACAAAATTACAGCTGCGATATCATGCGCACACTAAGTAGAAAGAATACTCGGTACTAGTGAACAGCAAAACAGATGACCCGCATTCGAAATTGTTAAGTATTTCGCGATCTTTTTAAATCAAAGTGTCATGGAAAAATAAACGAGTACACTCAGAGTCCTGCCACCGCCTCGGATTGAAGATTGGTATGGACGGACGGCTCAGGTGTCCAGTCTAACCGAGTGCAAACTTTTGGAACATGCTGCCAAGTGCAATTGACTGAGTAGAGAATTTTTCCTACATTACGAACACTTGCCTCTAGCTCAAAGAGAAATACTAATAACAGAGCAATGTGAAGTGGAATAAGCCGGAAATAGACACCACTGAGTCAACCCATCTCATCGCATCGGAACTAAGTGACGGAAAGCCTCTTATCGATCGGTAGCTTTACTACAGGTAGCATATAGCAAACTGAACTTTCTAACTTCTGCTTCTATTGGTTGAGTCGTTTACATGACACTATTAGTTATGACACAGTGAAGCGAAATCCCAATGGAGACCGTTTCAAGAGCACAATGACCAGCTCTAATTAAGTGCGCAGCGGTCAGATTAACTTTAGAAACTCGAGCACCGATTACTGCTTCTCATCGCTCCTACCGCCAGATTTCATCGACTGTATCCGTACAAATATTAGGTGACAGCATAGAATACCGGTGACGCTGGCTATCTTCCTCGCGACTGAGTACCAATTGGATGTATATGAGCCAGCGACTTCAAGTCGTACACTGATGGATGTACTAACAAACCATACATCACACCTCAGCTTTCCAAAGGGTCCTTCATGAAAATAAAACAAAGGTACTTTTGAAAGCCAATGAAATGAGCCAGGTCAAAGTTCTCTAATATGTTTTGGTTAATAATGCCATAAATTGTTTTTAGTCTTGTACATACCATGGAGATATTTTCACGTAAGGCAACTTTCATTGCATACAAACGTAGATACCAGGCAGCGGACAGTGAATAATCTAGCCCAAAATGGGGTCACCGCTCTGATATAACTATTCCCGTCCCTTCGTTCCAGCTGCAACACCGCGGAGATACGTTGTCTCGTTATCATTCGCCCGCAAGTTACGTCTACGTGTCGGTCCACTTGCTGGCTTGGGTGTGTTTCCTGGCCAGCACTGGCCATACAGTGGTCAAGCGATCCGAAAACCGGCTATTCTTCATCCGATTGTTTGGGATATTCTCCATTTGGTAGGTTTGGTTGTTTTCTGTTATTAATATTCAAATATACACAGTTGGATTATTTTGTCGCAAATCCGTTTACACCTTTTGATAACATGTGTCCTCTACCATGAAGTGGATGCAACCTAGGCCTTCAAGATTCATACGCAGTCAATTCGTCAGTTTTGTGCAAACAGTTCTAGTCTCGAGGATGGAACCCGCGGATGTTGTCAACGATAATTCACAGGTAATCGTGGCTAGATGAAAGAAGCTTGATAAATGCATTGTTACAATCCTGTGCACATTGTAAGCACCAGTTGTGCGTGCACGCAGGAAATTTTCACAACATATAAAGCATGTGAAATCCCATCTTTGGAACGTCACATGGTAACCCTGATTGCAGCCGAAGGATGGATCCGAGACCAATACTGTTACCGGCCGTCGTTTCCAGATACAACTGTCACATTAACGTGGAGCTGCCGCAGGAAGCATGCATTGGTACGCGGAACATAGGCGATTTACGCCACAATATCCACAGCTCCCTCACACGTTCTGTGTTCACTATACTCCTGAAGGAATAAGATCGGAAGACGTGTGCATTAGAACCACCATTCGTTCAGATGTGTCCTAAGCTTCTCCAACACGCACAACATTCAGGTAACTTTCCGGTGTTTGCTTACAATACATACTGGGGCGGTGCTTGGACTGTAGCTCGTTCAATTTTGGAATCACTCTTTGAGCCGAACACTTCGACATACTTTCTCCTAAGACCAGCGATTGGAAATATCCAGGACCTGGTAATCAAGGTTGTGGCGCTGGGCGATCAGACCACTTGTTAAAGCTATCATCCAGCCAAGCTTGGTAATCCATTCGGTAAGTGTCTCAAACACACGTCTGCCTTTCAAATATAGCCCGAATGAAGAAAACCATGAAATATTTGGCTCATCAGAGTAGTGAACCACATTCACAATTACATCCTTACACACACATACCATCCTGCCTGTGGCAAGGATCGTAGCATGGTGGCAAAATATGCCAGTGCACTGCCAATTTAAAAGTTCAAGAAGGAAAACCGCCACACAATGCTTCCTTTGTGCCAATATCACAAATAGGAGTAAAATCCGTTTTAACCAGACTGCTTATGAGTAGGTGTCATCTTCAATTAATTAGTGCTGTAAGCTCACCACAGTAGCTTCCAAGTTAGATGGTCTCATACAAGTCGGGAAAAGTGCTACAATTTTTCCAAGTCAAGTGCATTCGTGGCACAGTGGAATTACTCTTTAATGGACTCAGACTCCTTCGTAAGGCTACTCAAGTTGGTTTGTAGGTCAAACTACCGCGTACGGTCGATCCGAATTAACGCGCTTGTCTTTTTGTGGACCATTCCTCATTAATTTGTTGCACATTGTTGAGCTTACATTCATTCGACTCGGAGTTAAAAGCTCTATAAGGTGCCTACCTAGCTTCCGGAATATTTTTACCCTTTCAAGGTCTGATTAACGGTTGCGTTTGACAGATTTTGTTGCTGAAACCCAGCACTGCAATAATCCAAGTTCAAGCATTTTGTGGATTATTTTCACACGCGTTTGTAAGGTCATTCTTGAGACGATCAAATTAAGCAAAGCCTTTCTTCCATAATACTATTTGCTGCAACTACTTTGCACCTCTTACAACGTTGTTGCTTGCTCAGCAATCACTTGGAATTGATCGGTTACCCAAAGCCAATCGCCACACCTTGTGACCTTGCCAACCAGTGGGTCGGTGGTCAGAGCAGCAACATCGTTCGCCTCATTGACCACGTTAGTCACCGCTCAACTGACGGCTGTGCGCAAATGATCAAAGTCGCAAGGTCCGACATATCCAATCCGCCAACCGTCAGTCACCTCACCTACTGTGCATGTTTTGGCGTGTTTGTGTGTCACGTGCACGTCTGGCTTACAGAATACATCAACGGTGGGCGCCAGTACCACAGCGACGGCTCGGATAGACCTGGCTGCAAACGACAACACTGCAGCCAGCATTCCAAACAATGTCGCAACGCCACGTATGATCTTCAGAGCATTGCGGTAAAGGCCCTATGATCGGAGCAACTTGTCCTAGCTGCATTAGATCGTACCATCCGTAATGTATAGGGAAATCCGTCCAAGAAGCGAGGCAGATAAACAAAGATGCTGACACATTTTGGTTTTGCCCAACATGTCAAGTCATTCCCGCTGTTAACTCTTTATCTTTGCTCATGAAGAAGTGATAAAGCTTGACTGAGATAATCCCGCATTTAGTGAATACTAAGATCGCTCCCTCGGAGGTAAATATTGCCACCCTAATACCTTTAAGCCGAAAAAGAGAGCCAGGCGCTCCAACCGCACCGCAGCCTCTGTCTTTAAATCTTCTGGCTCACCTCACTCCCATAAGCAGGCAAGCTACAAAAGTGCCTACTTCAACTCCTTTCAGCGGTGCAGCCCATATCAAGGCAGTGATAAGGGTGGCAACTTCGGGCCCGAGCTCGTCTATCATAGAGAAAAGCCCCGCACCGTACGCATCAGTTGCCTCCACGCGAACGCCGTAGAGTACACTCCCGACTCGGGTAGCAGCACCGATAAACATTAGGGTGAAGCAACCTCCACAAGCAAACGGTTTAAAACGGTACTCATTAAGACCCCCAAACCTGCAGCAAATAGGAAAAAATCACGGTGGTTTGACTGTTTTGTGCACCAATGTTACTGAATCGCAGTCTGGTACCATAAACGAGAAGCTGTTGGATGACTGTAATCGGTGGAATTTCATTTGGGGGGTGCAACTGGCATTTCAGTTGAGCCCACAACACCGAGACCGGTTCCACGTCACCCAAATTCAATGCATTGCGGTGAATCTCGATTTATCCGAGTGACAATAAGTTCCGTCGATGACACAGAAGCCATTCTTCTGTCTTCGATACGGCTCCGTAACTCAACACATGAGGTGCACATTCTTCCGGATATCCCTTGGAACGAACGTCCTAAAGAGAAAAGCAACCAGGAAGAGGTTCGTAAATCTGATGAAAAACGAACGATTGTTGTTTACGGGGTTCCTGAGCTTCAAACATCCACCAATGAGGAAACGGAGACACGCGCCCGGGAGCAATGGAGTTACATCGGCCAGGAAACCTCCCTCGACAGTATCGTTGCAAAGCGGTTGACAAGAATTCCAATTTCACCCAGCTACAAAAGGAACGGTCCCAAGCTGATGAAGCTGACACTTCAGTCTGAGCTAATGACATCGCTCATATTGGATAATTAGTCCAAATTCCGCAAGAGGCTACTTACAGAAATTCGGTTAAAGGCAGCGGGCAAACGGCCACGGATGGTTAATGACTCATTGGGAAGAGGAAACTGGCGAATCTTCCTCTCATACAGCTCTGTGAAGGAGGTGATTTAATAGCAACCTTAGCATCCGAAGGATTAATGCAAAACACAGGAGACCATCAGGTCCATGACAGCTGTCATACAAGCCGACCGAACTTCAAATGCCAAGAACTCCGTAAAATGACGGCTAGTGGCCGACAGCTCAACGGTCGACACAATCTCCAACCTTAATCCAACGTCCAATGATTCGGTTTTGGTTACTGAGAAACTGACCTGCTTTATACTAACGCAAAAGGCTTTATTAGTAAGTTGGTCGAACTCCGTCACCGTCAGACATCCGAGCCTGGATACTGATACTGATCAGAAGCAGCGAGTAGAGCATACTCTGTGTAGCTGCATCAATTGTCGCTCTTGGACATTAACGTATTAATTATCGTTCCGCTCTCTGCCTCTGCAAAGTGTTTGTCTAGTAGTTTCTTAAATTCGCCTCTATTACCGGCTGCGGCAGTTTGTTCCAGGTATTCACCACTCTACGTTCGAAACAGAGTTGGTGAGCTACCCGCTTCAACTGCGGTACGATAAGGTTGTACCGGTGTCCTCGCGTGCTGCTTGGTGTGCGCAGATGAAGCAGTTGTCTCAACATGGGGTAATCACTCAGATGTAATATCCGGTGCGTCATGATGAGGTCAACCCTCAGCCGACGATATGCTAGGGTGTACAGCCCTAATTTCTTACATCGGTCTTCATATGGTATACCTCGTAAGTTGGGAATCAGCCTATTAGCTACATGCTGCACCCGCTCAAGCTTTTCTACCTCGCCCAGCGTGATGGGACAATATGCGGGAGAGCCGTACTCTATCATTGGTCGTATTATCGAGACGAAGAGGCGAGTGGCAATCTCTTCGGACCAAGTGCTGAAGCTGCGCCTGAGCGCCCAAAGCATCCGAAGGATGTTTTGGTACAGCCTATTCGTGTTGTCAATGGACTTTAGGTCGCAGCGTGAGAGCACACCGAGGTCGCGCACGAAAGACGCGGGATGCAGCGGTTGATCAGCCACTGTGTACGTTCGGCTGTGCTCGCATTTACCCAACCTCATGAATTGCGACTTAGCAGGGTTGATCGGAAGGTTAACCTCTGCAGACCATGTTGAGAGGCTGTCGAGGTCCTGCTGAAGTAAATCACAATCAATGAGTGTGCGGATTACTCTCCACACCTTCACCATCAAGTAATAATGATCACCGAAACATGGTTGAGCTGTGAAATTGCCGTCGCTGAAATCACCCTATCAGGTATGTCACTTCTCCGAAACGACAGAACGGGTAGGAGAGGGGAGTGATCAATTATAACAAAACAAAGCTTCGTTGTGAGCTCATAGATGATCCTCAAACGTGTCACTGATCTCCTTTCGTGCAAAATGTGGTTGAAGGACGAGGATACATGCCTCATGTCTGTAGTTTACCGACCACGTAAATCCACTCCGGATTGACCACAGACTAATATTGGCATTTCACATTGTGATAAATCAGGAATACACCCATATCCTCAACACAGGTGATTACAACATTCATGATTTGGAAACTCCAGCAAGGGAGGCGAAACAGTTCAAGGCCTGTTAACAGGAGCTAATCTATAGCACACCCTTATACAACCATGTCACTGATCCCATCAAGTTCAGAATAGCGAAGCATC